TGAGCACGGACAATAATGCCCCACCTGGTGCCTTCTACAGGAAGCCGTCTCAAATGCCTATTACCACCTCACATGCTGCTGAGGACTGAGAGCGCGGGTGAAGCAACTGGCCCAGGGACACAGCGCCCAGCCAGTCACACTAGTAAGGCAGCACCACGCCCTGCCTCCCAGGGCCCTGGGCCTGTATGGGACACCTCAGGCTAGAGCACACAACCCCCCAGCAGGGCCCGCCCGCCCCCCACCCCGCCAGCTTTGAGGCCTAACGAGGGGGGTGGGGCTCACTGTCACCAGTCCGCCCAGTCCCTATATGCCTCTGCTTGTTTCTCAAGAGGTCCCCTTCTGGCACTTCAGGAATCCAGCTACCAGGACCCCACCCTCACCCTGCTATCCAGAGAAGGCCAAACTCTTCTCCTGCAGGGCTGCACTCGAAGCCCAGACCCCAGACACAGTCTGACTCACAGATCCTGCCTCAGGTTTATTTGTACAAATAGCACAGGAGGACACCAGCCCCCCACACACAGCAGCCCAGGGGTCACACTAGTCCTTCCGTCCTCTCATCGGCAGACAGAGGCTCTACTGGGGAGCCTTTGAGGGGGCCTGGGCACCTCTGGAAGCCGGAGCCGGAGCTGGGGCCAGAGCCACGGCCTGGGCCTTGGTCTGAGCCTTTGCCTTTGCCTTAGCTTTGGACTTTGGCCTGCAGAGCCTGAGACCCTTGGCGATGCGTGCACGAGCACGTTTCCCAAGCTTGGGGTGAGCGATGTAAGCAAGTCGACTGAGCTTGCGGCTGCCACCCTTTGGGAGCTTGGGCTTGGTCTCCTTGGGCTTTACGAGGGCCTTGATGGCCTCGGCACGTGCACTCATGGCCTTGGCGTTGTGGGCCTGCATCTTCTTCAGGCCCTTCTTATTGTGCTTCTTGGCAAAGCGCATGTTCCTCAGGAACTTGGGGTCCACCTAGGAGGCAGGGTGGTTACAGATGACGGTTAAGAGCAGCGTGTGGGGACCCCCAAGTCACCCGTTCCCCTCCTCTCCACAGTATCCAAAGGCCTATCGGGCCCCAGCCAAGGACTCCTGGGGGTTTAGCATCAAGCCAACACTTAAGTACTTAAATAGCCAACCCTTAGGAACACGCACTACTGCCCTCAAGACCAACTCCCTACCCTGCTAATACTGTGCAGACGTTTCCCGGGCTGCGCACCCTGAGCCCAGTGCAGCTCAACTGCAAGTGCCAAAAGAGCCTATGAAAGCTGCCCTTTGCCAGGGCTGCAGGCCTTCACCTTCCTACAGTGGGCACTCCACCCTCCCCTTAAAGGAAGGTATCAAATACCAAGCCTGGTACAAAAGATTCACAGCAAATGGGGTAGACTGAGAGACCAAGATGGGGAAACTCAGGTTCAGAGTTTGAATGATGCACTCCACAGATCAGAGACCACGGGTACAGGGCTTAGTCCTCCTGCTCAGATCCTACAGTCTCAGGCTCCCCAACTGATGTTTAGAATTCCCTGGCATAGGAGGGCCCCCAAGCTCAGCTCTGCATCAGACCAAGGTCATATGGCTGGTCAGTGCGGAATGGACAAATGAAGAGGCAACTAGCACCCACCCACCGGGCCATTCGTTCCCTTAGAGGGCCCTGGTGAGCAAGGGAGATGGCCAAACTGCTCTAGGAGGCAGCTCACACCTGACAAGGGGCGCCACCCTGGGCTGGGAAAAGCCAAGTAAATATTTATGATGGGTCTGGCAGAGACTGAAGTCCAGGCTAACCCTGGCAAGCTGGAGAAAGAAACTGTGGGCTCTGGCAGGCCAGGTTAATGAGAAACAGTCGACGACACCACTCAGGCAGATGCTGAAGCTGGAAAAAGCTGCCCGGAACCCTGACTGGGCACTGGAGCCAGACAGGCACACTGCTATGCGATTCGGCGCAGACACTCACCCCCTTAAGAGATTCATATCTTTGTGACCGGGGTTTCTTGATGCCGTTTCTGTGCCACTTTCGGGCTGTGGGTGAAAAAAGACCAAGAAAGAGATTTCCTCTCATGAGTGAGACCCAATAACACAACAGGAGAACCCGGGAGAATCACAACTTCCCAGAGGTCGTCTTGAGATGCGGAAACACCGTACCACTGAACGCAAGGCGCTGTGGATCTGTCTCAAGCAGACCCCTGGCTTCTAAATCCAGAAACCCAACAGCAATGCCAGCTGAAACAGAATCAGCCCCAAGTCCTCGGCAGAAATGAGCCCATGCCCTGCATCCCTAACCCTCGCCAGAGTCTGGCTTGAGATGAAGGCTGGGCCAGGGGTACTCACACTGGTTGTGCGTGGTGTGGTTCTTGGACTTGGCCATGTCTGCACCTGGTGGACGAGAGTGGAGATCAGGGCTGGCGGCTCGCCGAGCTGGGCCTACCTCTGCCGGCCTGACATGGCAGGACGTGAGGCCAGAGGCAGAACGGGGATGCAGCATAGACACTTTGCCATCTGGGGCCTCCTCCCGCCTCGACTCCCTCTACACGACCCGACACCAGTCCCCGCCTCCCAAACTCAGGTAATGGTGCCCCGAAACCGAACCCCCCGCGGCAAGGCTGCGCTCTCCCCTGCCCATCCACTCCTTGAGAAGCCTCGAGCACCACCCCTGCCCCGCGGCCTCCGCTCCGATTGCCACGCAGCCGGTCTCCCTAATCTCCCCGGGGCTTGCGCCCCGCCGCGGTCCGGGAGTCGTGGATGCCTTCGGATGCCGCGCGCTGATAGCTCACCGAAGCCGGCGGCTCACGAACGGCCTCGAACCGGAAGAGGAAGAGGCGGATCGCGGTGCAGCACGGGAAAGAGGATCGTGGAGGCCGGAAGGTCCTCCCGGAAACACCTCCCCCAATGCTGGGAAGAAAGGTTCCGAACCCCGGGAGGGCCCACGCAGACGGAAAGGCGGTGCTACGAGCCTGGCCCGTCCCCTTTCGGGTCTTACCCTCATCTCTCCTTCCAGTCCTCCTGGACCAACCCTGGGTCTGGGAGCCCCTGAGGGAAGCGTACTAGGCAGGGGGTGACCGGAGATTTGTGTTCCCGAAAAGCACGCCCTGCTACTGCGTGGAGAATGCCTGTAGGGCCGAGGCGAGGAGGCGAGCCTGGGGAGGCTGATGCAGAACATGAGCGGGCAGTGGGTGGAGAGGGGTGGGGACGGAAAGAGGACACGGGGCTTGGGAGCTGACGGTGAGGGTGATGAGGAAGGAGGCCAGGGGAGCTCCTGAGGTTTGAACTTCAACATCTGGGCGAATGGCGATGCTGTTTGCAGAAGTGGGGGAGATTGGGGAAGGACAGGGGTTTATTGCTTTGTTTTGTTTGAAGGGGGCAATGATCCACATGTTCCTTTTTCGATGCATTAAATGCGATATGCCTTTTGGACACCCAAAATGAGTAAGCTTTGCTTCCTAACGACTCCTGCCCTCTCCACCTCTCTCACCCCTACAGCTCATCCTGCACACAGCAGTGGGGCCTGAGTGGGACTTGTAAGATACTTTTTAAGATACAAATTGTTAGAGATACAAATCATATCTTGTCATTTAAATCTTGTCATCTGCAAGGTCTTCCCTTGAATTGGAGCTAAATTCTTTACCTCCTTATCCCCTGGCAACCTCCCCTTATCATTCATTTCTCTCCAGACCCATGGACTTCTTTCTCCTGCCAAGCACAAATGCTTATTCCAGCTTCAGGGCCTCTGCACTTTGCTATCCCCCGTGCCGGGGGCACCTTCTCCCTGCTCTTTGGATGGTGTGCTTTCTCAGAGAGGCTTCCTTAGACTGCCTTATCTAAAAGAGAGACCCCTGCCCCATTTCTCCAGTTTCTCTGTGTCCTCTCATTGTGACTTCTTCCTTCATAGCACTTTCCTAGACTCTTAATGACGTTCTTTACTTATTTGTGTATGGGTCCAGTGGCACAAGCCCCATGCATTCGGGACTGGTTTGGCCACCTTTATTTTCCCACTGTTTGACCCCATGTAGACTAAGCATATGATGTAGAACAGGAGCTTAATGAACACCAACTTAGTGGACTTTCTTTGGCAAGGCAGGTTCATGGGGTGACAGAAGCATATTGCAGAGAGCTGGGGGGTGAGGGGAAAGGAGGATGTGGAGACAGGATGTGTAGACAACCCCTGACTGAGGCCCTCCAGAAAAGGGGAAAGAGATCTGGCAGGTGTGAGAGGAGAACGAAGGGCAGGCTCAGGCGCCGATGGTGCCAACAAGGAAACACGGGAGGCTCAAGAGGTGCCTCTGCAAGAACAAAGCCCTTAAGAGGTGCTGAGAGCAGGTGGAGGAGCTTGCTGGGCGGAGTGGGGATGGAGAGATGTCAGGCCTCAGGGAGTGGGAGAGGTGGGGTTGGAGGCTGGGACAGGCAGGAGACTGTGACTGCTGCACCCTTGAAAAAGAGAAGCAGAGGGCAGGAGCTGCAGAGGAGGCCGTGGTGACTCTAAAGGACCTAGACTGCCCCACCATCTGGCTTTCCCGTAGAGCGTACCTCCCACAGCTCCGAAAAAGTGAGCAACAACCCTGCTCAGGACTCAGTTTTGCCAGACTGTGCAGAGCAAGTGGTGAGCAGAGAGCCACACTGACAGGGGAGCGGATTCAGAGGTGGGCGATGGCCACACAGGGTTCCTGGGACCGCTACAGGGATAGGCCCTGGGTGGAACCCCAGCTGCCAGGCGAGCCGAGGCCGCGGCAAGGGTGAGGAGCATTGGCTGTGATATGAGGGGACTTGTTCAGGGGCCCAAGGGGACCAGGACCTGGAGCCCCTGGCCCACCATGCTTTTCAAAGTGGGAAAGATGGCCCGGCTGGCCCCGTGCCCAGGGACCCTTTCCTCCTCCCCACCTGCCTGCCTTTCTCCCTCCCTCCCTCCCCCTGCTTTCCTCCCTCTCTTTCTCTCTTCATAAGTGTGACCATATTACACGAACTCTTCTGTAACCTGATTTTGTTCATTCACTCATAATTTGTGGATGTCTTTCCCTGTTCATGAAAATCCCTTGTAATTTTATTTTGCACACTTAAAAACATTATTCTGAGAAGAAGTCAGTAAACATCACCAGATGTCAAAGGAGTCCTCGACACAAAAGCGGTGAAGAGTTCAACCCTTCCTCCAGGACCCAGACAGCCACGCTCCGTGAGGGAGCAGCTCGAGCCCACGTGGATGTCCTCTGCGGCAGAGCCCTGGGCAGACGCTGCTAGCCAGGCTCAACAGTGTGTCCATCAACCGTGTCCCTCCCATATGCCTTGAACCGCAAGGCAGGGAGAGACGTGAGGCTTCAGTGAGCAGACCCACCTCAGACCAGGCCAGGCGGGGTGGGATCTGCCAGAGCCCCAAGGCCTTCGGCAGCATTGTCTTGGCCCAGCCTTGTCCAGAGCCCCAGCCCAAGTGAGACCCAGTGGGGCCTACCCAGCTAAGTAACAGGGTCGGACACAGTTGCGTCTGGCACAGTCCCTGGTGCATGGGAGGACCTGAGAAATGTTTGAGAAATTAAGTGTATGCATTTCACAGGCAGAAGGCAGAGTTGGTGGGTGAGCAGCCAGTCGGCCTGGAGGGGTTTCACAGAGACAGGAGTCAGCTCTTCTATGGGGTCCAGATCTTTGTGCTCTAAGCCTCAGTGCTCAGTGTAACTGGGGATCAAAGTACTAGTTGCCTTGTGGGGTTAAACTGGTTAATATGAGCAAAGCTGAACTACGCTGAGTACACCTTAGGTGCTCAGTCATTAGTCCCTCTGAGCTTTTTCTCCAGGAGGCCTCGGGAGTGACAGGTGACTGTAAAAAATGACAGGATCCAAGGGAGGGCCAGTGCCAGTCCTCAGGGGTGCTGGGGCCCCTCAGTCGTGAAGTTCAGAGAGACAGGGTCCTCCAGTGTGCCAGGCAGGGGCGGCTGTGAGCGAAGGAGACAGTAGGAGAGAAGGTCCGGGGCAGAGGAGGAGGCCCTTCAGCACTGGGCTGGGCGTTGGACTGGCATCGGAATTCCCATGTGAGAGGCCACCTGGTTCTTTGTGGCCCCAGAAGGCAGAGATGATGGCTGTCATTTATAAAACGTGTCATTTATACAATCAGAATTTCCTCCAAACCGATGGGCTGCTCCAGAGGTAGTGAGCGCCCTGCTATGAGGTGCATGCAAGCAGCAGTTGATTTACTGGGGATAGAGGTTGAAATATGGGATGGAGGATTGGCAAATATGCAACTAGCAGGTTCACTTCCTTCCAAGAGTCTGGGATTCAAAGCTCGTGGGTGCGAGAAAGGCAGTGGGCAGCATGCGGTGCCAGGCTGGGGCTCAGGGTGTGTTGGGAAGAGAGGACAGTTCGGGCAGAGGCTTGGCAGGGCAGCCCGTTCCTCAGGTCACTGGCTAGGCCCTCAACAGCCCAGGCCAGTGATTTTCCCCTGGGAGCCCCTGGCCCAGCGGGGACGTGAGCCTGTCGTCCACATGGGGGCAGCATGAGACCGCCGATGGCGCGGCGCGGCGCCGGCAGGGGGCGCCCGAACGTCGGGCCCTCTGCGCCTCCCAGACCTCGCCTCCCGACCTCACATCCCAAGCCTGCGTGACTGTGGCCCAGGCCCCGGCTGCCCCTTCCCGCCAGGTTCTCTGGGCAGGTGGGGTCCCCTCGGTTCTGAGCTCCTGACGGTGCAGCGGGGTTGGGGAGTGTCTTCCCCTGGAGAGGATTCAGGACAGAGAAAGCAGAGCCTGTGCGGAGAAAGACAAATACCCTATGATTTTACTTATTTGTGGAATATGAAAAAAAAAACACAACCCAACAAGGTGAACAAAAGAGCAGTAGACTCATAGACTCCGAGAAGTGACTGGTGGTTACCGTGGGGGAGGGGTTGGGGCGCGTGGGAGGGCGAGGGGGATAAAGGGGCACAAAAATTCTCAGCCGTAGTGTAAGGTGGTCGTGGGGACGGTAGTGCAGCCTGGAGAATGTAGGCAGTGATTCTGTCATCTCTTCCTGTGTTGACAGTAGTAACCGCCCTGGTGGGGTGAGGATTTAATAATGTGGGTAACTGTTCAACCACCGTGTTGTACACTTGAAACCAATATAATATTTTGTATCAATGATACTTCAATTGGAAAAAAAAAAGCAGAGCCTGTGGGTGCCTCTGGGTACAGGCCCTGCTGGTCCAGCCCAGAGTCCCTGGCAGCCACGTCCCTTGCAGGGGAACGAGCAGGTTTTCCATTGGGCAAACTTGGGTTCAAATTCTGTGCTCACGGCAGAGTGGCTTCCTCAGAGCCTCAGTCTCCCTTGTACCCGTGGGGGAGGAGCAGCGCCCAGCTGAGCAGGCAGGAAGCCAGTCTAGGAGTTGGGGGGCTCTCTTCACCCTGTTTCACGGACAGGGAGCCCGAGTCCTTGGGCATGACCCCCTAGAGGCCCCAAAGCAAAATGGAAACCTGCTTGTCCAGCTGTCCCCCAGGACCCAGAGGAGCATGGGATGGTGTATACCCTGTGAGGTAGGGAGCCCTGTGACACCGACGCCTGGTGGCCTGGGACAAGCCCCTGGCCTCCAGGGCCAACAGATGCCAAAGGGGGCGCATCCTCTATGCTGGCCCCTGCCTCCCCCCAGACCCACTCACTCCCCCCAGAAGAGGCCTAGAAAGGTTGGGGAGCCTGGGGTAGTGGCCTGGGAGGAGGGCAGGCACCTGTCAGCTCAGGGCTGAGTGGGAGTCAGCTGGCCTGAGGCTGGCAGGGCTGAGAGGGCGTGCACTGTTCAGGGGAGGGGACCAAGGGGTCAGAGCCGGGCCTGGGGAGTGACCTCACTGCTGGGCTGAAGGACGGGGGACCGTGAGAGCCACAGGAGGGCTGTACTACAGGGCAGGGTTGGGGGGTGCTGCTCCCCATTTAGTGCTCCAATGAACCCCTCCCAGGCCCCACTGCATCAGGGACTGAGCCAGAGAAGAGGGCCTGGCTCTGTTTAGGAAGGCACAAGGGACACCAGAAAGAGTAGAAAGGAGCTGGGGATCTGAGGAGGGGCACAGTCAGAGGGCTGGGGACCCTACAGGTCCCGTCCAGGGCACCCTGAGCGAGAAGGGCTGGTGGCCATAGGCAACCAGCCTTGGCCCGAGCAGTGTCCTTCCCAAGCCTGTGTTACTGGGAAAATCACTCAGCTTCCTGGGGGCTGACCCCTCACTCCCCCTCCACCCCAACCCCACATAGGCGGGCTCAGCCACACAGCCTGGGAGAGTTCTCCTGATGGGGCAAAAGGAAAGGGTGACCCTCGGCTCTACCCGGGGGATCTGTAGACAGGCCCTCTACGTGAGGCCTGGGTTTGCAGCCCCGATGTCTGCTGGGCCAGGGCTACCACTGTGACCACCCCCCTCCGCCGGAACATCTACTGTGTGCAGGGCCTGGGGGGATGGGGGAGGAGGCGGCTGCGGGCACAGCACCCAAGATGCCAGGAGCCTCTGGGGCCAGAAGGGGGAGCTGGAGTCCTTCCTGGGCATTCCCAGCAGGAAGCCTCAGGGGGCCGGGAGGCGTTGGGGTAGGACCAGGCAGAGGGCTGGAGGGGACACAGGCCAGCATCTGCTTCCCATGGCTTCCTGGCACCCGACGTGAGCTGGGGGGGCTCTCTAAGCTGTCACTGCACCCCCAAAGCCCCAGAGGCCTGACCCACAGTGGGTGTCCTCGCCTTCCCAGCACACAACCCCTAACAGGGATGAAAAGGGAAAGGAGAACCCTGCTAGGGCCCAGTGGCTTCTCCTGTTCACCCCAGGTCGCAGATAGCTGAGGCTCAGAAATGTGGTGGGACTTGCCCAGGGCCACTTAGCTTCTCCTCCGTCAGTCACTGCTGGAAGCTCGGACCCACCTAGGGCTGGCACTGCGGGCAGCCTGGGGAAAGGAGGGCCATGCTTTTCCTGGGACTGGCCGTCCAGCAGCGTGCCCTGGTGTCCAGGGCAGGGGGACGGTGGCCACCTCAGTCCCGTGCTTGAATGAATCCTTGTTGTGTGGCCAGCTGACCCATGCTGCTTCTGTCCTCAGGCTCTGGAGAGGTCCAGGGAGGGAGACCCAGATTGTGCCCTGACACTGGGCAGTCGGGGGACCTTGAGCAAATACTCACCACATGGCTCCTCTGTCCTCCACGCAGGGGTGAGGGCCCTACCTGCTCCACGCACGTTGTGGTGAGGCACCACCCATTCATGCCAAGCACTTCCTGAGGCCTGGCCCGTGGTCTCTGGGAGAGGGCGTGGCCAGCCAGAAGTCCAGGTGGGCAATAAGGGGGTCCTTCCCTGCCCCCCATCCTCCCCTGGACACACGGAGGCTGCCCACAGGGGGAGGGAAGTGGGGACACAGGGCCAGGGCCAGGAGAGGGCAGGCTAGGAGCAGCTGCCCAGGGCGGCTGCACGAAGCCAGGCCCACAGCCGGCTCAGCCGGTCTCAGCGCCGCTGCCCGCCTGGCACAGGGCCCTCACAGCACTGGTTTTAATCGATCTTTTCCGCCAGCAGCTCCTGGCGGCGTGGGGGCGGCTTCCCCTCCATTTGCTTCTCCTGGAGGATGCGGCTTGGCTAAAAATAACTCGGATTACAGGGCTGGGTCCTGGTGGGAGGTGGGGCCTGGGGGCTGTGTGGGCGGGAGCCTGCCGGGAGTTCCCTGAGCAGATGGAGGGAAGTGGGGGCAGGTGGGCCGGGGTGGGGATGGGCTCTGGCCGAGGTGAGGGGCTCGAATCCAGGCGGGGCTAACTCCCAGGCCGGGGTTGGGGGCAGACCTATGCCCGTGAGCTCTGTCCTGACGGCTGTCCTGACGCTCTGCGTCCCAGGCCTGGGCACAGCACAGCTCCTGCGGCGTGAACACGTTGCTCCTTGAACTGCCAACCCTGCTGCTCCCTCATGTGGGGCTTCAGGGAGGTGACAGGCTGGCCGAGCCTCAGCTTCCACATCTGTAAAGTGGGATCATCACACAGGTTCCAGGGACGACTCCGCATGGTTTTCTGCTCCCCCGGCACCCCCACCCTACCACCTATCCACCTTCCTCTCCCCAGCCCTCCAGCCCCTCTTCCACCACAGCTGGGAGGCTGGCCAGCCAGCCCGTTCCTGCCTCCTGACTGCGCACACGCATCCTTCCAGGATCCCCTGTCCCTCTGCTGGTCCGAACCCTGCTTTGCCTTCTCAGGGGCTCCCTCCCTGCCGTCCCTCCTGGCCCTCACTGGCCGCCCAGCCCCGCCCCTCACCCTGACCCTGAGTCACACGCACACAGGCGCACTGCTGCCCCACCACCCAGCACCCCACTCCACCCTGCTCCCCTTGTTGCCACCAATCGGGCTCCATGTGAGGAGGGTGCAGGTCTCATGGAGGCTTTCTGCTGTATGCTGGAATGCCACGCTGCCCGGGCAGGGCCATTCAGAAGCCCAGGAACTTCTGGCGCGTTTCAGTGGTGCCCAAGGACAGAGAGAGACCATGTGAGAGCAGGACGGCCTCTGGCTTTCTGGGCTGCAGGGCCGTTTCACAGACGGGGAGACAGAGGGACTTGAGAGAACCTACCCCCAGGGATCACATTTTGTCTGTTTTATTCCCTCAGCAACTTGCAAGGTCAGCTCTCTTCCCCTCCCCATTTTCTAGAAGAAGAAACTGAGGGTCTGAGTGTAAAGCTGATACACCTAAAAGGGGGGGGGCATCACCTAAAGCCCACCCAGTGACCCTCTATGTCACCAAAGTAGTGACAGCAGGTGTTTCCGGGAGGTTCCTGTCCCCAGAGGAAAACCTGGATGTTGGGACCCTCTCATGACTGCCTTCAGCCTTCCCGGGGTCCCCTGTGGCCTTCCCCCATCTTACAGCTGCTGCAGGAGGCAGGCCCCAGAGCTCTGCCCCCCTGCTGGAAGCACTCAGGTGGGAGCTCCCTGGGACCCCGCTGTCACTGCATGTCCTTGTTTCTTTTCCGTTTGGGGAGTGAGTGGGCAGGAGGCACAGCCCCGAGGGAGCCGTCCTGGAGTTGGGCTGGGGGCTGGCTTTGATATGACTACTGGCTGCCAGGGAAATGAACTCCTAGACGCTGGGGGCCAGCTGCCGGGCACAGCAACATCCCCACCCCGCTGCCTGGCTCTGTCCCTGGCTGCGCCGACATCTCCATTGGAAGACCAGGGTGGACACCCCTCTGAGGCCCACTGCAGCCAGCTGGCTGGGCGACCTCAGCTCAGGTTTTGACCTCTCAGGGCTGGGAGTGTGCCCTCTGAGCAGTAGATACCTTTGGGCCTCCAAGCCTGCCTGGGAAACAAGGGAAGAGACTTCCAATCCCAACATGGAAACCAAGAAAAGAAACGGGTCTGCGAAGGGGTGGCCCAGGAGCTCCCTGCAAGCTGGCTTAGAGCTGCCGAGGACTTCAGGGAGAGGAGAGGCCTCACACCCCCGGAGTCAGGCTTCCTCCCACAGGCCCTGCCCCTGCTGCTGGAGGCTCCCAGCACTCCCGGGGCCAGGGACAGTGCGTCTGCCTCACCCGATCCTGCGGGCCCCGCTCAGCTCCGCTGGTCCACCTCGCTGCCCTGCTTAGCCGTCCCGAGGCCGGGCTGGCCTAGCACCTCCACCCATGGCCTGCGCCTGTAGGTGCCTGCAGACAGGGTGCTGCACTCTGTCCCTGCAGCAGGGGCGGATCCGCCCCCGTCCCTCATCCATGTTCTCTGCCTGGAAGGTGCACCCCCACCCGGCTCATTGCCTCTGGGAGGCCTTGCAGGACCTCCCCAGCCAGGCCAGCCCCTCCCTCCACACCTCCCCGACACCATAGGCTGGCCCTGTGCTTTGTCCAGGTCCGTCTCCCCTTTTGAGTGGGGAGCTCCCCAAGAGCAGTCCCGGGCCCCCCAGTACCCCCTGGCCGTGCTTCCTCTTCTCTGCCCTTCGTACCCCTGAATTCACTCCAGTGTAGTCCCTGGGGGGGTGCCAGGCAGAAGGAGGAGGCCAGACACTTCACCCTCACACCTCTGGGACCCCCTTTCCAGGGCTTTGCCCCTCCCGGCAGCCCACCCACCTTCCCTGAAGATCCCCAGGTGGCAGGCATGCATCTCTTCTCCTCCGGAGCCATGCTTGGTCCAGGTTCTGGGGAAAGGGGTCTGTCTACAAGAGAGTCCCCAAGAGACATGCCCCCGGCCATGTGTGTCCACAGTGTTCCGTGGATGCAGGGTGGGGAAGGGGTCGGTGGCAGTGGCTGGTCCTCGATCCAAATCCAGGTCACTCCCGGCCTGCTCAGCAGCCATCAGTAATTAGGGGCCAGCAGGACGTGGGCAGGCAGGTGGCAGGAGGCCTAATTGTCTGATTTTTCAGGTAATTAACGGGAGGCTGTCTGGTCTGTCCCCATGGGGCCCGGCATCCGCCACCCCATCCCCCCCAGGCAGCCCCAGCCACTTAATGAGGCCAATTACTGTGTGGTGCCCGGGCCCTCATTAGCCACCTGGAAAGGTCGTCAGGGAATGGCATCGGGGGAAGGGCTCAGTCGGGCATGGGGGGCTGGGCCACCCCCAGGAGATCGAGGTCAGGATGTGCAGGCCCCAAATATGTGCTGCTGGTCATTGGGGGATAGCCTGTGTCACGTCTGGGACCCCACTTCTTGCCTGTCCTCTCAGGACAGCAGCGTTAGGTCAAAGCCTCCCCCCGCCGCTCCTGCCTGCCTAACCCTTGGCTTCCTGGATCAGGGATGAGGGTTGGTGTAGGTGCCCAGCACACGGGCGCGGCACTCACCCTCTGACAGTTTGGACACCTTTACTCCGCTCCTGAGGAAAGGCAGGCCCAGGGGGGTTCAGGCCTGAGACCACCAGGGCAGCTGAGCCCCAAGGGCATCTGCCCCTGGGCAGGGGACCTGGTAGGGGTCAGTAGAGCTATCCGATGGAGGGTGTCTAGGAGTGGCTGGACTTCTGTGTACCTGAGCAAAGTGAAGGCGGGAAGCAGGCCATCCCAGGAAAGAGGGGGCTTTGGAGGTGGTGGGGGAGCTGGAGGGCCCTCTTCCTGGCTGCCCCAGGACGCCCGGGGCAGAGCCAGCGGGTGCGTGCCGGTGCCCAGCCCATCTCAGGCTGGAATCCCATCTGTTGGTGGGCCCACGCCCCCGCCGGCCCCAGAGAGCACTGTGCCTTCAGATGTTGAGAGTTTTGGCTTCTGTGTCTCCTCTGTTTTAAGAATTCTGTGACCTAATTCCATGCTGACAAACTCCATGCTGTTCCGGCTCCTGTAATTGTCAGCTAATGCTACTTCTGGTCCCACTGCCAGCCCAGAATCTAGGTCAAGGGTTTCCAAACTGTGTCCCCCAGCAGTCCTGGGGTGGGACCGGAAGCAGGAGGCTGCTGACACCCCAGTTGGAACCACTGGCCTTTGATCTCCGATAAAATATTAGTAGCTGCTTTGGTGCCTCTTGCCGCGTTCCTGGCGCGTAGAGGGACTCTGCCTCCACAGTCACATTCTGTCCTCACAAAACCCATGAGGATGGCAGCCTCACATGCCATGTCACCGAGGAGGCTGCTGAGGCCATTGGAGGCTGAGGCTGAGCTGAGCTGCACGGCCCTGCTTGGTCAGGGGAGAGCCAGGGCTTGGACCAGCTTCCATTCTAAGCTGCAAGAGTAAAGGGTCTTCAGCTAAAAGGAAACTAGGTGTGGGGGCTGGGGGCACGTCTACCAGAGCAGTTTCCACCAGGCTGGGGAGGGTGGGCACCGGCCTCATTGCCCCGGGGGAGTGGGGTCCCAGTCCCAGGTCACCAGGGCCCAGCCCCCGTGTGAGGTGTCTGTGCCAAGGGTCCATCTGCCTGTCTGTGTTTCCCTTTCCTCTGCTGTGGGGTCTGCTTCCCCTGTGGTCCAAACCAGCAAGATCCAGCCCAGAAACAGCACATGTTTCCAGCCTCTGCTCCTCCAAGTCACACATCGCCTGGTGCTATATGCTCCTTGTCAGCTTGCTTCAAAATCCTGGGTGGGGGTGCTGAGCACGCGGGAGGGGCACTCAGGGCCTCCTCCCGCTGAGAAACTGAGCTGCGAGCCCGCAAGCCCAGGACGAGACTCAGTGGGCAAGCGGGGCCGGTCCTTGCTAGGCTGGGGGCTGGCTTGGGGGCTCAGTCTCGGGTGGGAGGCATGGTAGGTGGCCGAGATGCAACCTGGGCTAAGAATTAAACTGGCGCCGAGGTCAGAGCTCAGGGGCTTCAGTCTTGTCTAGTGGTCCCAGGTCCAGACCTGGCTTGGAGTCAGGGGTCAGAGGTCATCACTCAGAACTTGATGAGGATGGAGAGCCAAGCTCAGTCTGGGGTCGGGATCAGGATTCACGCTGAGGTGGGTCAGAGGTCAGAGGCCAACCTGATGCTGAAGGCCACAGCTGACTGAGTAGGAGGTCCGCAAAGACTCAGAAACCTTCCTGCCCCTGGAAATGGTCTGGGGCAGGACCAGTAATGGATGGAGGCCTTCAGTAAGGAAAACAGGGGCTTCCAGGAACTGAACACGATGATGAGGACTGGGAGCAGAGCCCGTGTCCGAAGGCCCAGGGTGCAGGCGGGAGGAGCCATGGTTGTCCATCTCTGGAACTCAGTGGTCATGGCGCCCACCCCACAGCTGCCCGTGCTCCGTCAGGGCAGGGCTGCCTGTGGGCCTGGCGTCGGGGAGGTAGGCCTGCCCCGTGAGGACTGGTCCAGGTTCCAGGTGTGGATTCGTGGCCCTGACCCATCTCTGCAGGGTGGGGTGGGTGCGGGGCTTTAGGGTGCAGCTCAGTTCCAAGGCTCTAGGTCCCCAGGCCCCAAGCTGCCCCTGAGAGGTGGGTCTGCCACGCAGGCAGCCCTTGTGGCCCACCTGAGCAATGTGCAGGAGGTCCTGGGCACCTGTCCCAGGCCTCCCATTCTGCTGGCTGGATTTTCCCGCCGTTTCTCCGTCCTGGGCCCACTCTGGGGCAAACCCGCACAGCAGCCAGCGGGGGGAGCAGGCAAGCAGGAATGAGAGGCCTGTGGGCAGAAGAGAAGGGCGCCAAGGAGGAAGGCTGATCACAGGCCTTCTGTTCTCATCGCCCACAGGGCCTGGGCACAGAGGTCCACCCGGCTCTGGGGGCCTGACCCCAGAGGTCTCCCCCTCCCCAGGGGATCCCAGGGAGATTCACCCAAGAAGGGATGCAGGTCTGTGAGAGGGGGTAGGGACTGGAGGAAGGTGAGGTATGCCCAGGGGACAAGAATGGTGGAAAGCCAGCAGAGGACATGTGGACCAGAGGGCTGCCCTGCTCGCCCAGGATGGGAGGCCGCCAGGGTCTGGCTGTGAAAGCCCTGGTCACCTCCTCCAGCTAAGCTATTAATACCCAGCCACCACCCCTGTACCCCTGCTGGGAGCACGCCGAGTTCCTTGGGGGCTAAAAACGGCCTGAGATGGGGGTGGGCCAGGCGCTCTGCATCTCTTCTTGTTGGGGGAGCTGAAGCCAAAGGCCAGGCTGGCTTGAAAGGGGCTGGAGCCAGGATGGGGGTGCAGAGGGTGACTGAGCCCTGGGAGCAGGAAGGCCCTCAGCCCATCCCAACCCCATTGCTCAGGGACCCCCGAGGCCCCACCAGGAGGGGGTCCACTGCCTGTCTGTCCTGGCTCCTGGCCCACACGTGGGCCTTCCCCTCCCCTCAGACCCCGTCTTGGTTTGCTGCAGGCTGTGACAGGACTGGAGGCTGGGGGCCGCCTGTCCCCTCCTGCCAAGAGAGGCCTGGGGGGAAGGAGGCTCCAGGAGGAAGTTGGGGGCTTCTGGTGGAAGCAGGGTGGGTCATGTTTTTGCCTCATGTGTGAAATCTCAATTATCCATAGCATTCTCTGAGGAGGGAATTACGGGCAGCCCCATTTCATAGATGCAGAAACAAGACTCAGTCATATCCCCAGGGTGACAGACCCGAATCCTGCCTGTGTTGCCTCCTGTTACGTCATGAAAAAGGGGTCCCTGGTTTGTTTGGGGACCCGTCACAATACCCGTCACCATAGTGCTGTAGCCCACTGGGGCGACTGGACCAGGATGAGCCCACAGGCCCCTTTCTCCTGAACTGGCGGAGCCCCTCCCAGGGACTGGCAGCCACTTCACCCTCCATGGCTCATGAGCGCACACCGGGGGCCTGTGCTGGTCTTCTGGGCTCCAGGCCATCCAAGGCCACCTGCTCCCGGCCATGTCCCTCTCCCTTCCCATGACAGATGCTCCAGGGTCCAGACAGACCCCAGAAGGTACAGACTTGGCCAGGAGAGTCTAGACGAGAAAGTGGCTGAGAGGTGTCAGCCCAGAGGCCCCCTGCACCGGAAATCCTGACAGCTGCCTGCCTCACAGGTCCTGGGCACCGGGCCCTGACCTGGGCAGGCTGCCGTGGTGTCGGGTGTCCAGAGCAGTTGGGGGAGGTGATGGCCCGCAGCCAGCGGCAGTCTGCCTGTAGCTGTCCACACCTCCCGGGCTGCCAAGGCAGAGCAGCGCCATGGGGCTGAGGAGGGGTCCTGCCCGGCCTGCAGATCTGAGGGGAGAGGCCCTGGCCTGAGGGTCTGGGGAGGAAGCACTGTCCTGTCCTAGGCTTAGGGATACCTGGCCCTGCCTAAGAAATCTGAGGGGGCAGACCCCTGGCCTGGGGCTGGAAGGGGGGGTATATTCCCTAATGGTGGAGGTGGACCAGGGAAGCCCCAGCCACGCTCCTACTCGGCAGCCAGGCAGTAGCCCTGCATTTCTCCCCTGTGCCTCTGCAGCAGCCTGAAGGGCCAGACCTGCAGGACGGGGCAGGAACCCTCCGGCCTCAGGATGACCACACACAGCCCTGGGATCCCCCCTCCCGTCCCGGGAGGGAGGTGGTGGAGCCTTGCCAGTGATCTTTGCCTCCACACCAGCGGAGGGGACAGGCCAGCCTCAGAGAGGGGATTCCAAGGCCACCTCCCTGGGATGAGCACTATGCACCCCCACTCTCCCAATTCCCACATGCTCACCCCCTGGGGGCCGGCTCCCCAGTCAGGCTTCCTGGACTGATAGGCTTGAGGAGGCAGCGCATTCCCAGCTCCCACCCCAGGCGTGGGGCGCCCATGGCCTCCCCATCTCCCCAGAGTGCCCCCAGCAGAGCCTGACTTTATGAAGGCTTTGGGCCCTCCTTTCTCTGCTCCCGTTGTCCACTTCCCTCTTGGTCCTTGCTCCCACCCCCCAGCCCTCTGGGTCTCTGGCCAGGTGAGCTCCTCCGCCACACCAGGTCCGGGCCATCTCCCACCTTAGCTGCCCTCTTTGCTCAGCCTCTCCCTGTGTCCCTGTGCCTTCCCTCTGGGTGTATCTCTGTCCTTGATCTGGCTCAGCCCTGGCTCGGTCTCTGTCTGCCTCTCCGAGCCACCCTCTGATAGCTCGGCCTTTCTGTCACTGTTGCTCTGGGACCCTGTCCTGGCAGCATCTTCTCTCCCCACCTGGCCAGGACGCCTGCTCAGAGGCCTGCTCGGATGTCTGCTGGCCGGGCCCCAGGAAGAGCTCAGACTGTGTGCTCGTGGTCCCAGCTCTGGCCCGGTTCCACGGGCACTGCTGCAATTCCCAGAAAGCAGGCAAGGGAGAGAAGGCCAGAGGGCCACGTGCTTGCCTACCCCTTGGAGGGGCTGATGGCCTTGGGTCGCCCTGTGCTCAGGCCACCGGCAGTGGTCCCTACCCAGGCTGCCAATTCCGAGCACTACTGGCTTCATATGCTGCCCAACCACGACGGCTGCGGGACCCTGGGCGAGCTCTGAGCCTCAGGTTCCTCTCCTGCGTTGTGGCACCAGTAGGGCCTGCTTCAGCAGGTGCCAGAGAATGAAATGTCAGCACGCTGGGCACTCTGCCCAGCACGCTGTAGGGGTCAAGAGAGTCCCCATTAGTGTGAGTATGACTGTTCCCCGGGGCCCCCAGAGCTGTGATGAGTGGGCTGGGGAACCGGCTGAGCCTCTGCTACTTGAAGTGCCCCATGCCCACCCTGTGCCCCACGCCTGTCCCTTCCTCTTTTGGGAGACATCCTCCCACACCTGGGACCTTCCTCTCCTCAGAGTCAGTCTGAATCGCACACTGTGGTGCTCACCAAATTAATTACTGCTGGCTTGGGGATATATATTTTTTAAAGACATTTTTCCAGGGGGAAAAACACACAGGAGCTATAATTAGTTAGGAAGAGGAAAGGAGTGGAGCGTGTGAATCACCAGCCCCAGTGACAGACGGTCAGAGTCGAGCAGAGCTCTGGGAGAAGCCTCTGGGTGGGGGTGGACCAGGGATGGGAGCTGCTCCAGGCACGCTAGGGTCCTCAGCCACCAGGCATGGAGGATCTTACCTGCCACCTGAAGTTCGCCTTTGCCTCTGATGTTTTTCCTCCTGGAACTGCCTTCCCTCTCGCCACCTGGCTAGGGGCACTTTCACCCCTGCAGCCTCGTACCTGGGCAGAGAACCTCATGCCTGGGATGAGGAGCTAGAATTTAGAAGGTTGCATTACCAGGGATTTGGAGACCATCTAGTCCAGCCTGTCATTCATTCATTCACTTGGTCATCAAATTCTAAATACTGCTGTGTGCCTGGCCTGCACACAAGTAAACTGAGGCCCAGAGACGTGCTGTGTCCGGCCCAGGGCCACACAGCTGTGGGTGGATCAGCTTCTGTGCGCATCCTCTCATACCACCCATGCTGAGATGACCAGGGCCTGCTCCAGCTGAGCCAGATCGGAGGGGCAAGTAGGTCCTGCAGGGGCACAGAGGGCCTCGTGGGGAGGAGGTGGAAGGTGTTCAAAGGCTGGAAACAGCATGCTGGCCCACGACGCTGGCAGGAGGCAGGGGGACCTGAGGTGGCTGCACGGCTGCTGCTGGGCCTGTGGCTTCGGGGCCTGGACATTACAGGCCCCAGGGCCCCAGGGTTTCTTCTGAGCATGACCTGCTGGTGGGGCACCCTGGTCCTTGAGGACCATCCTCTGGTTCTTTTTGATGTCCGGGGCCCACTGACCCAAGGTAACCCCTTCCTGGGGTGTGCCCCAGATTTCTCCCTCTCTCCTTCTTCCCTTTGTTGAGGGCTGGCTTCTCCAGGGGTCTCAGCCCAGGCCTTGGGGTTCACTGGTACACTGTGGCTTGGGGCTGACAGCAGAGACCCCAGGTCTGCAGGGAGAGGACACTTCCTCCGTGGGGGAATCTGGCATCAGTCAGCAACGAGAGGTCCCTCCTAACCCCAGACCAGATCAGCCTTCAAAATTCCAGGCTGCATGTCCTCCACATCAGGGACAGGGGCACCGTCCTGCCCCAGGGTGCAGCGGCCCCCAGGCCCCAGGCCCCAGACCAGCATCCAGGCTCAGAGCAAGGCTCCCGGGTTTAACAATGAACTTGGAACCAGGATGTCTAATCAAGGCCAGCCTAGAGTTCTGAGGGCATTTTGGGGGTTTTTCATTCATTCAACAACTAACTTCTGGACACATTCTCTATGCCCAGCATTGTGCTGGGCCCTGAGACACTGGAGTGGCAATGTAGGTGACAGACATGTGACCAGGCAGATTCGTACAAAGTGAGCAGCCTTGTGGAGGGACTTCATGGTGGCTGTGGGAACCCCTGATGAGGTCAGGGAGAGCTTCCTGGAGGAAGGGGTATATAAGTTGAGTCCCCAAGGATGAATGCGCCCTTAGCCAGGGGAAGAGAGGGAAGACAGTTCAGGAGGGAAGAATCAGATGCAAAGGCCAGGAGCAGAGAGGGGAGGGGGCATCCAGAAGTGGGCGGGGTACTACTGGCTTGTTCAGAAGCCTCAGCCTTGTGAGCCCCAGGGAGAGACTGGATTTCATCAGGAGCACAAGGGAGGGGCGGCCTGGGGACAGGGGACTGGAGGTGGAGGGTGGGTGGAAGCAGAGCTGGACCCACAGTCCCACCCGAGGGCTCCTATAAATAGAAAGGGTGTGGGGGACAGAGGAGGGGGTCCTTGGGACCTCCCACACCGGCCTCTTTCAGACCCCTCCTGG